CCCCAAAACCCCAAAACCCCAAAACCCCAAAACCCCAAAACCCCAAAACCCCGTGGCTAAGTATTAGATTGAACTAATACTTCTAAAAACCAGGTTTAGACCAATTGAGAATTTAGAAATTTGAAAATGTGCCAGGGTAGATTTTGTTCTATTATGATTAAATTATGTAGAAGTTTTAGTGCTATGAATGGCTCCAATAGGGGTTCTGGGAATTAATTCTTCTGTTTACATTACAGTTTCTTCTACAAAAAGCCATAGCCTATCTCTCCCATATCCATCTTTTTTCATATCTTGAGCATTAGCTTACTTATCTTCCATTAATTTACTAATTTTTGGATCCTGGCTGTGTAAAATCTTGGTAATTATGAGAAACTTTCACACCTCTTCTGGTCACACTGGAAAGGCAGGATGCACTCATTCTTGATCAAGTGACTTTGGAAGTGTTCTACACTTTGATACATCTCCTTTACTTGTCTTTGAGAGTTGGAGACATCACTCTGAGTGGGAATTACTACATTTTCATGTGTGTCTAGAAGGATTTAGAAAGATATTTATTGTTGATGAAATTAATTCAATTTTTATTGGGAGTCTCATAGGTTACTCTCTGAGTTAATAATCCCTCTTTCAGAAAGATCACCGAGGAAATTTTCATGTTTTTGGCTAACTCCTCTTTTCCTCATAATCATCTAAGCTTTTTGCTCAGCTTGCTGATTTCATCCTTCAATTTGGTTACATTAGAAACTAATTCATTACTCAAGTTTTTATTCTTCGGCTTATTCTTATCTTGCTTACCAATAATAAAATGGAGCATTCCTCTACTTTAAGCACCTACATTTAACTATTAACCATTTTGATAAAGAAAATAGTCTTGCTATCTTTTCTACAACCTGTGTATTCATTGATCTGGCCTTCATCATTGTATCCCCATTCGCTTTAGAACTTACCTACATACTCCTGAAATCTCTCATTTCGTAGATAATTGTCTACATTTTATCCATGAAAGTATATTTATTATGACTAGCTAAGAGAGGTTTAAAGATCCTTTTTGAACAATTGGATGGTAAGAACTTTTCATCTTAGCATTCATCAACACAAAATTGTACCTAATCCCTCACGTTCAGGTCTTTGATTTAAGGTATTGCACACAAATTGCCTTCTTGGTGCTCAAGGCCTGAAGAACTATAGTAATCAAAACTCCAGTATAATATTTTCCTTTTCCAATAATCTCTCCAACAAATGAGATTGGGGTATCTTTCATTGGGAGTAAGAAGAAGAACTCTTCAAGAGTTAAGATTTTGTAAAGCTTTCTTTTGGTCCTTGACTTCAGATCGATTTCACTCAAGTTGTATTGGATTGGTTTCATCATTTGATCTATTTAAAAATATAAATCATACAATTGTTACAAATTTTAGCTTTAACCATAGATTTATTAGGAAACTCATCTTACAGGCAAGGTTTATGAATTTGAAAGTTTTGGTAATCAAGCAAGGGCTATTGTTCCCCCATGTTTTCATCCTAAATTTTAGGTCTTGGAACATTTCAATTTGGGAAAAATATCTGAATTCAAATCCAAGGTCATTAAAAATTCTACCACTGGAAGAAATGAAATTATGATGGTTTCTAAATTAATAAAAACTTTCACTTATTGAAAAGGGATAGAAAATTCACAAAGTGATTTATAAATTTGATAATAAAATTCATTTACCTTTACTTAAAGCCTCCATTACAAAGCCAAGGAAGAAATTTTGCCAACATTGACCCTGCATTATTATCTTCGCTTGACAAGAAATTAAAATGCCTAACTCCTGAATAGTAAAGGAGAGCTTACCATGTCTTCAAAAACTTTCGAGATCCAGAATATTGTAGAGGACTTTTAAAGATGTCCAAGAGTAACTATCATAGCATTTACTCTCTTTGATATGAAGAGCCTTATGACTCAGTTGAAACTAAAAGACTTTACTCCAATGAACCAACCAAATAGAACGATGCTTTTACATACATTCAACCTCCTAGGTATCCTTTTACAATAAAAGATCTTACTGAAGAGATTAACTAAAAATTTTCTGTGCATAAGTCTTATCATCAAATCATGAAAATGGATAAAAGTTTGGATTCCCCTTCAAAAAGATTCTTCTACGATCATTTAATCCAAATCCGAGTACATTAGAAGAGTAAAATAATTACATTCTTCCAAACTCTTCATCAACACCAAAGAGAAGACGCTTAGAAACATCAATATCTTCTTCCCCTTCCACCCCTTCCTATCCCACGCTTAACCCCACTCATACACACAGGAAGGAAATACTGGTCCTCACAGAAGAATATTCTCACCCAGGTTTTGGGTGTAGGAAGAGAACTGGGAGTTTAGGGAGGGGGAGGGTGGAGAGGAAAGTGGATTTTGGGGGGGAAGGGTATGGGGGTGGGGGTATGGGATAAATGAGGGTGGCTTGGGGAGTTTTTTAGAATTTTTTTGTTATAAGTCATTGGGAGGATGATAATCGGGGAGGTTCGTAGAGAGTTGTTATTTTTAATGCTTTTTTCGGCTGGTTTATGGATTAGTCTCTGTTATTAATAATATCAGAAATTTATTACTTTAGATTACATTATATCAATTATTCCAAATTATCCTAAAACGAAATATTCTTATCTTATCTTTTCAATAAAACCTGAAAAAATTGGGGTTTTGGGGTTTTGGGGTTTTGGGGTTTTGGGG